TGGCTTAGAACTTTTCATTTATAGACTTCTGCTTTTTCATTGTGGGGGAGGTGGAACAAATTACATTGGTGCTTTTTCCTAGAAATGTACTATCTCCAGAGATTAGGGGACTGTAATTTATTCGCACTTTCAGCCATTTCTTTCCTTGTCTGCTAGATACATTCATGACTGATAAAAAGACTTGCTGACTAATCTAATTCAATATAAAAACATGGAGAAATTCAAGGATATCTAAGACTTTCTCTGACCAACTGAGAAACTTGAGGCTGGGAGGATTGACTGAAAAAAAGTGAAAACACTTCATCCATAAATACAAAAAAACCACAGAACATAATTCTGAGTTGCTTGCGGTGAGAAAAGAATCTGGTCCATAGAATTATGATTTTTCTATTTATTTGTTTATTCTCCCTTCTGAGTGTTTACATGTTTTCTGGGTATGTTTTCTCCTTCCTACAGCTGAAAGACTGGCTTTCTGTGTCAGAAGTCACATGCCTATGTAAGGTTACATTGTATAGAGATCGCTTGGTTTATTTCCCTTTATTAGTGTACTGCATGGCCTTGCTTATGAAGAAGAGGATGTCTTCAAACAAAAGTTTCTTCAGCTGGAGCATAGGTTTTTTGGCACAGCTAAAGGCTATATTGCATCATTATCATGGTATCTCACCATTACATTGTCTTTTCACTCTGAACAGAGCCCAGTTTGGAGAAGTTACAACTGTATTTCATTACTACTAATGGTCCTTTATATTTTTTGAAATTAAGACGACTTTCATGGCAAAGAGCAGGAAGCCTTTTGTGCCATAGCAAGCAATTCTCAGGAAGTCTTAAGTGGCATAGTTCTTGTGGTGGTCTTATACACCAGACAAAGCACATATTGAGCAGTGGTGGCCAATTTCTTGATCTTGCTTTAAGCTGAATTATGTCAGGTAAAAAGAGCTAAGGAAAAAAGTGAAGGGCTATCTTACTTTGGCTATTCTTTTTCTTTAATAAAGGTGAAACTGTGCAAACAATCTTCTGAGAAGATGGAGGTCAGGTATTGTCCACACTGTTGTAAGTTATTTTTAGTGAAAGAAAAGACAGTAGAAGAAGTAATTTCTTCTGCATATATCTTGTTCGATACTGCTAAGGCCCAGCCAAAAAAAGAAGACTCTTATTCCTTATGGACCACTATATGAGAATATGTAAAAAAATTTGAACTAGAGAGCTTAGACTGAAATATCTGCATGGCTACTCATGATATTTTGTCTGGTTAATCAGACAGTGATTCATAGTCCTCTAAAATTAAACTTACCAAGGTTAAGTCTTTCTCATTCACAGTAGTGTCTATTTTTTTAATTGCCTCCCAATGTTTTCCTTTCTTCACCTAAACTTATTCTAAAATCCATACCATTTCTATAATATGATAAGAAGCTGGGCTTATTATTGTCTTGCTGTTATACTTCACTGTAAAAATTGTAAGACAGCAGCAAAAAGATCAACAGTATAAATAGAAACCCTAAAATCTATATTATGATCACTCACTTTCTTGGAAGGAGGCACAGAGAACCTACTAGGCCATCTTGCTAAACTGATGAGAAAACCAAAGGTTGAAGATGAAAGAAAAATTGTACAAGATATTAAAAAGATACAGCTTTCTGAATCAGAAAGAAACAAAAAGTCACTGAAGTAGAAAATAGAACTTCTAAAAATGAAAGGAAAAATTTATTAATACCATAGGGAGATGTAACTAAAAGAGAAATTAATTCTAGGGAGGATGCCAGTAACACACGCAACTTCATGAGAAGAATAAGTAATCATGTGGAACATAATGATTCCCTAGAACAAGTGACCAGTAAGTTAGGAAAAAGCGTAAGACTGATAAGTCTAGGAACAGATGGGAGATAGCCAGGAAAGCTAAAGAAAACTGCATATCTGACATAATCAGGTGTATTTAAAATGCACAGGATCTAGGGGTGGTGGGAAAAGACAATGGACAAACTGTCTTAGTACTGTAAGGAATCTTGAGCACTAAGGCACTATTCAAAGTGCCAGAATGGATTGTGTTTTGTCAGGAAAAGTATGAGTTAAAGGAGAGCCTATTTTTGTTATAACTCTCTCTTTCTATGAACATGGGTTCCAACTTCTGGATTTCTAACAATGTTCTCTGGATTTTGCATGGGTGCTGATACCTGAGAAATGGAACAGTTGATTTAATTCAGCCGTCGTGCTGATGGCTAATCTAACACCATGAAAATTTTATGAAGTATAAGGCTTTTTATTTAGGAGTAATTACAAAGCTATCAATAACTTCAACTACTAAGCTTTCAGTGCATTTGATAATACTGAACCAATTTGTAAAAACCTGTAACTTATCCTGTGTAAATTATTTTAATACATGCACAGCTTTGCATCCTCTCTGCCCCCCTCCCCTTTTGTCCACTGTAATTAAAATGAACCTACTCTAAAAGAAGAAATGGAAGATACCAGAAACTTCAGAGTGTGGGACTTTTGTGTGTCATGAGCTTCCCCCCATTACACTAACTATAGGACGTTTCCTACTGAGAGAAAAGTGGAGGTCTGTTGAACAAAACACTCCTTGCTGAGGCTCTTGTCACTCATATTACAACCAAAGAAAATGGAAGTAGAAACTTTCTAGCACTCTACAAAGCAGGGTCTTACTGTCCAGTAACTTTTTAGTATCTAATTGCTTTTCTATATCAAATCTGATTGGATCTGGCATTTAGCTCTTCATATGATGACTGAATGTTTGGTCCTGTGGATTGAAATAAATGGTGTAATAGTTCCTTGGACCAACATAACATTTAGCAATTTATGTTTAATTGAGCAGGTATGGATCCATAAAACAAACAATACATGACATGCCT